TCTATGATTCTATGATTCTATGACATTTTGGTGTCTAAATTATCAGAGTGAAATGGAGATGGGACCCACTTCATTTACTTTTTGAAGAAGAAAAAAACCCACAACCACTCATCTGTATAACAGCCAGCATCATCGTGAACAGCAAAAGCCTTTGACATTGAGTTATCATGTGCACAAAGCAACATTTTTTACTTCCCAAGTCATTTTTAAAAAGCTTTATGTTCACTATAGGCTAACAGTTCCCCAAGGACTGACTCATCAGAAGTCTCTGGCCTTCTTAAGCTCCAATTACAGCATGCATGTTTTCAGATCAATATAATTTACAGCTGCTACTTACGTATTTTGAAGTTAGGCTTGCTGCACTTATATTAAAGAAAGTAGCATTTGATTCTGCAGCAACTGCTTTGGCCTAAGAGAGGGGAAAAAAAAAAAAAGTACTTTTTAAAACACCAAACTGAAGGTACCTCTCTGTTTCTGTAGCTAGCACACACCCTGACTGAAGATTCTGAAAACCCCCATTCTTTCAAAGGGAACACCTTGTAGATGCTCCAGAAAACTTCCGTACAGGCCACTTACAAATAGAAATGGGTAAGCAGTCGAACCACGAGGGAGATTTCCAGACTCTTACACTCTTCTAACCACATCACCTCCAGAGCAAACACAACTTGCTTACTGAAGAAAACAAGTCTCCAGCTCCTTTCAATGTATCTTGAGTAGACATCTGAAACACTTTTAACTAACTTACGGTGGTAATTTAGGGTAGCAGTTGGATCAAATCACATTAAGAATTATGGGGTTTTTCTTCTCCCTAACCTCTCTGTTTCCAGAGGAAAGCTAGGAAAAGAATCAGTTCAGCCAAAATGCTCACACAGAGTACTCTCCTCTTTAACAGTTTCATCATATTCAAGAAATTATTATTCCCTGGTTACAGAGTTTAATTTTAGTGACTAGCAATTATGCTCCTGTATGTAAAGCGTAACAGATGAGGCAGGGAGCTGCTCAGCATTCAAACCCCTGTGCTTCAGAGCCGATCCCGCTTCCGTACCAGCAAAGGGAGCGTGCAGCTGCAGCCATGGCATGTGATGCAGGACGATGTGCCCGGCTCAGCTGCATCGGGACACACGACGC